AAAAAAAAAAAAAAAAAAAAAAAAAAAAAAAGCCGCGATCGCAATTGTGATCTGCGGCGGCAATTCGGCAGGAGGTCCTTCGCTCGGAGTAGGAGTGAGGGACCGTTTGCCGAATTGCCGCCGAACAGCTGGACGTGCCGCCCCACTCCGGAGTGGCCGCCCCAAGCACCTGCTTGACAAGCTGGTGCCTGGAGCCGGCCCTGACTGTCCATAGGGAACACTAAAGTGCAGTTCTACTCTGAGAAGTGATTATGTAAAAGTTGTATCTTCTTACTCAACAGGTCTGCTCCCTTTGTGTATTCAGAGTTATTTCTGGTGACTTCAAAGTGATTGATAAAAGTTCTTATTGCTTTTCACTCCTGTTTGCCCTGCAGAGCCAAAAAAGCTCAGTGAGAGAGAGCTGGATTTTATTCCTTCTTTTATTCCTCCATCGACAAAATTGTTTTCTAAGTTCCAATTAGTTACAGCTGTGCATTGAAGACAAAAGGGTTGCCCAGACAGATGTAATTCAGGGCCTAAGTGAAAGATCTGTTCTATTACTGATGAATAAAGCTCCATGTTTGTCATGGAGGTCACAGATTCCATGACTTTCTGTGACCTCCGTGACTTCTGCAGCGGCCTGTGTGCCTGGCCTGGGAACCACCTGAGCAGCTCGGGGAGCCCTTGGGCGAGTCGTACTAGCTGCTGCTGGGGCACGCTCGGGCCCCCCTAACCCCGAGCAGCAGGAGTTTGGGTGGGGGGGGGCTTAGGGCTGAGGATTGGGGTGCAGGGCGGTGCTTACCTGGAGTGGGGGCTCCCTGGAAGGGCAACAGGAACTCCCCTCCCTCAGCTCCTATCTCCATGTGCTGCCTCCGCCCACAGCTCCCATTGGCCGCAGTTCTCAGCCAATGGGAGCTGCAGAACCAGGGCTTGAGGCGGAGTGGAGGCAGCATGTGGAGGTAGGAGCTGGAGGTTGCCGCTTTCCAGGAGCTGGGTAGGGAACTTGCCCCAGGCCTGCCAACCTCCTGCTCACCCCCAAGCACCCGTAGTGCCCCCCCACTACATGTGCGATGCCCCCACCACCACGCCCCCCAGCACCCGCAGCGCCCCCCAGCCCCCCCCCCCCCCGAGCCCCCGCAGTCCCCCCCCGGCCCCCCCCCCCCCCCGAGTACTCTCTGCGCCCCCCAGCTCGCCCCCTCTCAGCACCCATGGCACCCTCTGGGCTGCCCCCCTGAGCCGCCCCACCCCAAGTTTTAGTCGGGGATACAGTAAAAGTCATGGACAGGTTCCAGGCCGTGAATTTTTGTTTACTGCCCGTGACCTGTCCATGACCTTTACTAAAAATACCTGTGACTAAAACATAGCCTTACTGATGAAGTATGAAATGCAAAGAACTCGGCTTGACTCTTAGGCCCAAATTTTCAAAAGTGGCCCTAGATTTTGGATGCCACAATTTTTGGGTGCCTAATCTGAGGCACCAGGTGTGTCAGGTTGGACAGTGCAAAATGGATACAGCCAAATTCGAAGCCACTATTGAAAATGTTAGCTTTAGAGCCTAGACTGAATATGCAGGGCTGGCAGTTAGAAAGCCCATATTTTTGCCTGTAAACTGAACACATTTGATCTGAAGCCCCAGTGACCATAAAGATGGAGCACCATGCAATTCTGTTTTCATGGCCACTTTTCAGAACAGAACTGAACTCTACGCTGCCTATGTGGTGGTGAAGAGCCTCAAACACCCTGGGCCTTAGTGCATGTTAAAAAGCCAACGTTTTCAAAGAGTTATCACACAGGGCTTTTTTCTCTAGATGTAAAATAGGAAATAACTGTGGTGCCTCAGCTAGCCCATGTGGGAATTATTGGTAAATGCTGACTTTTTAATGTCAACCATGGTACACACCTAACCTACGAGCCAGAGAGTCACTAACAACACTCTCTTATTTCTAATTGTTCTCTCATCCAAGTCCTAGTTCACTTATCTAGTTCTCCTCTTGTCTCCCAGTTCAAGGTCTTGAATGTATTTCTTTCTCACTGCCTTCTTCCTCAGTGACCTTCTAGTAGCATCCATGCCTTTCAAACAAGTGAAGGAGGGTCAGTGTGACCAGGGAAGCGAGTACAGAGGTGGAGCAGGAGCTTACTGGGTGACTTGGTGTAAGAACATAGAGAAGGGAGCAGGAGTGTGACCTGTTCCTAGTTGGGGTGGGCTAGTGATGAGCTACTGAAGTTCTTGCTTAGCCCTTGAAACCTGAGACCAGCTCCAGTTTTGTAGATGTGCAAAACTGAACCATCTTCTGCAGCAACACTATCCACATTCTATGGTGTTTTTAGCCAAACCAGGGAGCAAAGGCAATTATGAATTGACCCATTAGGACATGAAGACATATGGCTGACCTTAGTTTAATTGGGTATTAATTAAATTAGGAGATAAACACATGATACAGAAAACATTATAGAGCAACAGCAAGTTACCATAATGAATGCTTCTAACTCTTTAGCACGAGGGTATATGCTACCTCTCTTCTTGGACAAATGACCCAGATATCAGTTTCCTGGGTGCAGTGGTGCAGTTAGAATTGTTGGGTTTCTTGCCACGGTATTGAAAGCAAGTGTGTAAAGTTCAGGAACCATTGATATCACACAGGCTCCATTATAACATCAAGCAAAGCACATAGTCTCCTGTGTTCTAGGCTAGCAAGAGTGGAACTCTTAAAAAGGAAGTGGTAAGGATACAGTGAGGGGCTAAAACCTGGCTATGCAAATCAATGGTCAGTGTATCAGGGGAATCCATAGTAAAAAGAAGAAAGGTTTAGGGGATCAAATTCACATTTGAGAAGCAAATCAAAGGCAGAGCTGGGAAGAGACGGAGTTAGAATTAAGGTTGGTTGGAGAAACTGAAATGGGACCATATTCCATCAGAAGTTGAAATGATGTCTAATCAAAATACTTAGAAAATTGGGTTGATTTGGCTAGAATTTTGTTTTAGAAGAAAACTGGGGGGGAAAGTTCCAACAATGTCAAAGTGCTCTGTTTTGACATTTCTGGAATGAAACATTTCAATTTTTTGTTTTGAATTACTTTTTGTTTAGACGTTATTATTTTGCATTATATATTATAATATGATACCATTTCTTAAAAGTTGAAATTGAAACAAAATATTTTGATTGACCCAAAACAATTTTTTCCCCAGAATTTTACTGTGTGAAGAATTTTGAATCTTTTGATTTTTATTCCTAGCTGAAATGAACCTAAATTTCAAAAATCTCAAAATTCTTCATGAAAAGGAATTTCTGTCCTCAGCACAGCTCTGGTTAGAAAGGCTGGGAGCAACCTCTAAACATGTAGATGTCTCTGTAACCAATTCAAGAGGTATCATGAATAAACACAAGGAATTAGAAGTCTAATTAAAACATAAGACATAGAGAAATGTAAGTAAGGGTGGTGAAATTGGGCCCTTTCTTTGCTAAGATTACTGTGGCAGGGCTGGACTGTGCAAACCACCCACAGCAAGGGAAGGCATGCCTTAATGAAGCTAGGAAAGACATTCCACCTCAAGGAAGCAGAATTCTTCCCTAGGTTCTCTGAGGTGTGCCTGTTACAGCCCTTCATTATTCTCTTCTACATGCCTGTCCTGCTGCAGGACCAAGGGCAAAAGATGGGGGTAAGGCCATGACTCTACCAGCTCTTCCTTTTGGGGTGGTTTATGCGCACAAGGGTGCTCGCAGGGAGCAGTCTTCGTGTTCTCGAGTGCACACAGTGCAATTGTGATTGGCCCTTACATGGGCTACACAAAAAGGGGAGGCTTCATGCAATCCCTCCATCCTAGCCCTTGCAATTTCATAAGGGCCAACCATAAGTCAGCCTTTAGTGGTTAAAAGAAATTCATTGGACATAGTATTTCTAGTGGGGCATTTTAGAGGATTCCATATAACATTCCCATAGGGAAATTAGAGCAATGAGGATTACACACAGCATTACTGATGCTTTGATGTCAAATTTGGAGGATATATTGTATGTGGTTTCCCAAGGGGTTTGTTCAAGGTACAGTACTACTCAATGTTTCCATTTACAACTTGGAGGATAAAGAGAAGATTGCACTAATCACACTAGCAGGTGACACAAAGTTTGGCCAGAATCCCAAATAGTTGATGGGTATAGTGGTGCACTTTAAAACTTTCCACTTGTGCCTCAGTATTTACTCCAAATATTGAGGTAACATTGCCAAGTTAGCTACGGGAATTGGAAATTTTTAGGTGCTACCACTATATAATATAACAATAATCATAAGTGTACTGGTGACATGGATTGAAAAATCCATCAAGGCAATTCAATAAAGGCAAATGTAAAGTGGTTCATGGAGGAAGAAATAATTAAATGTACACATTTTAAATGGAGGGACATTGGCTAGGCAGCAGTCCTGCAGTTAAAGCAACTCTAGTGGGATATAAATTGAATTCTTGTCAACAATCTGATGCTACTACAAAAAAGGCATATGTTCATCTTGGGTTGTAGTAATAAGAATGGCATGCATCCAGCAAGGTTATTATTGTACACTTCCCAGCAATGCTTAGGGATCGATCAGTTTACTGCATAGTTTTGTGTGCCACATTTTAAAAAAAGAGACACAAATTAGGAGAGTTCAGAGGGAAAAACATACAATTTTCTACAGATATTAAAGCACTTTTACAAACATGGGTAACTGTCATGATCCCCATTTTCCAGGTGAAGGAACTGAGGCATAGAGAAGTTAAATGACATGCGTAGGGTCAGGCAGAGTTAATGGCCAAGCTGGGGACAGAAGCCATGACTCTTAACCCCTCATTTCATGCCCATTAAAAGACTTAAAGTAAGACTTATGAGGAAAACTGGAGAGAACTGAGCATGTGCAGTCTGGTGAAAATATGATGGAGGTGAAAGTTATCTATCTATAAATATGAGAAAGGAGAATTTAAAAGAAGACAAGGATCAGTAATTCCCATTAGTCCAGTGAGGAAAAAACAAGGACACCTTCAACTTGAAATCTAGTCAGTTTAAAAAAAGAAAGTTAAAAGTCATTTCAAGTACGATATCTACCCTTAAGTCCCCCTGTAAATTTTTGTGTTTTTATAGATGCAAGTTCCTATTTCAAGAAAATGTTTCTTTCTCCTTCTTATGGGTGAAAACACCCACATAAATGAAGGAGAAACTGACTAAATGACTCATGATACAGAGGAAGCTGTTAAACCAACCATAATCAAAAAGTGCTCTCAAATAGACACACTAAACAAATTGGTCTCTTTCAGTTACAGTTGTCTTAGGTGCTAATTCTAACAGTAGGTATACTTTTTCTGCCACACATGTGAATTTTAAGTTGGCAGTGTCCCTTGAAGTTGCAGCATGTGAAAATTAAGTAAAATATCTGGAAAATTATTATAACTCTCAGAATAGCTCAGTCAGTAGATAAAGCTGCCTAGAGAGATGGTAATGGATAATTAATTTAATACTGCCATAATAATGCTGGAGGATGGATTAGGTGACCTAGTTCAAGGTTCTTTCCAACCCAAAGGAATCTATTATTCCAAATATAGCATTTTGGTTAATTAGTTTACTCTCTCATTTTTATACTGTACTATTTCTTAGCTAATTATCTGCAAGTAATAAGGGCCATTAAAATTTATTTAAATAATCAATTCAATTAGATAATCAACAGTTTCAGATAAATGTGCTGGGGCTGGAAGTGTCAGCAGAGTTTTGAACTCTGCTGGAGAAAGGCTTCAGCCTTTCTTTTGCAGAACTTAACAGCTCTACAGGAGCGAGCTGAAGAATGTATAAACTCTGCAGGAAAAAGTCTCTCTCTTGTAGCACTTACAAACTTTGCAAGCTAAAGTGTTTATGACTTCAAAAAAAAAACCCGTTATGATCTGTGTTACAACTTGGGCCAGTCCCCCTACTGATGGTCACCAGTCTGTTGTAAGTGGATCCAGCAGCTTTGTCCCATGTGCTTCAAAGCCCCCTGAGCCTGGGTACTCTAGTGGCTATTTTTAGCTCTGGGTCTGTAGGGCACATTCTCATGCACAGACCTCTTGTCTTAGTCCTTCCTTGGGACATGGGACTCCGCAGTCCAGCCTCCCTGATCCCTGAAACCAGTGCCACAGATCTCCCACGCCCCCCAGTTGCTTACACATGCTCCCCCAGAGTTCCACCTAGCTGTGGGCAATCTGGCTTCTAGTTTCACTCCTTAGGGGACACTGGGACAGGAAAACAAGGAACACCCCCTGCAGAGAGACCATTGTTCCATGGGATTGGCTGGCAGTTGAGAGACAATGACATTTGATGGTCCTAGATCAACGGTTCTCAAATAATGGGGTGCGGGAATGTGTCAAGGGAGGTGCGAGCTATGTGCTTTTTTTTGGTTTGGTTTGGGTTTTTGAAGAGCTCTGGCTGTCAGCCACGGGTGGCTGGGGCTCCTGCAGAAGGGCCATGCACATCCGGGAGGAGGGGATAAATGAGACAGACAGAGCCATGCCTCCCAGACTCTCCTCTCCACCCCCACACACTCAATCCCTCACCAGGAGACAGCAGGGCTCCAGCTGTCAGCCTCCGGATAGCAGCAGCATAGAAAGTAAGTGTGGCAATAGGTCACTAGGTCTATTGTGAAAAGTGATATTGACAAATATCACTTTTCACATTGCCTCCCTTACTTCTGTGCTGCTGCTGGCGCAGCACTGCCTTCAGAACTGGATGGTGGTCTATGTACTTGTGGGGGAGGGGGAGGCTGTAAACAACTACAGACACAAAGAAGGGGGGCCCGATCAAAAAAGTTTGAGAACCACTGCCCTAGATAGCTCTGTCATGGCTTCTCAGTTATAGTCATTCAACTAGGGAACAAGCACCTTTCCTGGGCAGGGTGGCTATCTAGAATTCATCATAGGAATCTTGCCTTGGGCAAGGTTGGACATGAATTCAGCCCCTAGTACAAAATGGATGTTCTAATCCAAAAATGATGGTTACAGTACAAAGCAGAGTTCAGAATTTGTCGCAGACACATCCCACCTTATGACAGTCTGAATTTCAAGCTCAGGGCACAGAGCTGACGGTGTAGGTGGGTCGTGATATTTTCATAAATACGGAAGGACATTTATTGATAGAATATCAACATGTGAACATTCGTTGACAGAATTTGAGAATTGTAGTACATTTTCCAGGTTAGTATAGAGAGCAGCTACTAAATAAGGCACTTCACTCACATCTGCCTGACTTTTTTTTTTTTTTTAAATACCTGCTCTACTTGGTCTCCTAGATCTGATTCAGCATCATTCCAATATGGAAGGAAGACAGTGTGATTTGTAAAAAACAATTCCTACTTCCAAAAGGGCTGGTCTACACTGTGGGGGGGGAGGGGGAATCGATCTAAGATACGCAACTTCAGCTACGTGAATAGTGTAGCTGAAGTTGAAGTATCTTAGATCGATTTACCTTGGGTCCTCACGGCGTGGGATCGACGGCTCCCCCGTCGACTCCGCTACCGCCGCTCGCTCTGGTGGCGTTCCGGAGTCGACGGGGAGCGCGTTCGGGGATCGATATATCGCATCTTAACGAGACGCGATATATTGATCCCCGATAAATCGATCGCTACCCGCCGTACTCTTTGTGCTGATCAGGTAGCACGAGGGGACAGCTGGGCATTCCCTTTGCATAGGCGAATGCTGGGGTGGTTTAAAGCCAGCCTCCACTCCTACAGCATAGGGGCATATTGGTGGGCTGCAGGGGATGTGACCAAAGTGTGCTGTGCTCCACTGATCCTAGATAAGTGGAACCACCTCTGTGGTTGGGGTAACTTGTGCCAAGGGCCTAACTGGCTCCTGGCTGCCCGGATTGGGAAATGGGGTTGAGAGATGATGGAAAGCCACTATGGAGAATAGAAAAAAAGATGGAAAGGCACTTATGCTCCACATCTCCTCAGGTGTGTCCAGAATAGATCAGGTGCTATTGAAGATGTAGTCTGTACATTTTTCAAGCCAGGAAGGAATAACTGAAGGACTAGTTTAGACCTCCTTCACATTACAGAAGTAACTCTGCTGAAGTCAATGGCTTTGAGTCTCCAGTTTTATGCTGAAATACACAGATGTTAATGAGAGGATAATCAGGTCCAATGGAGTCACATGGATGTAAAACCCCTGTGAGAGCAGAATCTGACTGTGAGTCTCCAAAATAGATGTGGGAAGCAGCACAGCATTTGATATAGGACACAAGAGAGCGCTAGACGGTGGCCCTGGAGGCATAAGAATTCTGAAGGTTGTTTTAAAAGTACATAAAATATACCAGTAATTTAGTATATGTGAATTTCGGAATTTCCTTTCAATGGTACACATTGTTATCAAAGTAGGTAAATAATGGAACTGATGAATAATTGCTTTTCGAAACAGACAAGTACTGAAATGGTTTGGATGTAGATACAACTTGAACAGTTTGGAAGCATATTTTTTCAACTGTGTTTGGAAATTTTGCAACATGCTATTCTTTCTCTTGAGTTCTTTTAATGATTGGCTTTTTTGGGCTGGTGGTGGAGGAACGTAACAGATTTTCCAACAGATTCTGAAGTAATTGGGATAAATTAAGGTATTATTATGTGTGCTATGCAGTCTATTACACATGACCTCTTTCTTTCATATTTTCACATGGGTTTAGAGAAAGTTTCACATACAATACACACACTTCACAGTTTTCATGCTAAGATATCACCCTCTCCACGGTGGGACTGCAGATAAAGCTTTGATTTATCTGCTGTCTATGGTGCATGTTTCGTACAGATTCTGCTGTGTTCAATAGATTTTATTTCTGTTCAGTACGTCTGAAGTCTTTAACACAAAGCTCTCCTTTGTCCTGTTCTTCTTTAGATTGAATGCTCCAGTATATCTGACTACTCGGAAAAAATTATCAAGGCGAACCACTTGGACAACAGTAAGACATCTAAGAATAGTTTCTGTGAAAAATGGTGGCAGACTGGGGCCTGCGCTCTCTGATTGATTTCTGTTGTGTAGTTTACATGTAATTGATGGTTTGGTACATACAGCTGATGATTTATTTATTTCGATATAAATAGAAAACAAAAAAATCCCTATTTACAGCTCTAGGCACCTGGACAATTACTGAGAATCACAATCCACCCTGGAATAATCACCCAGGAGCACATCAGTGCTTATATGCAATGAAAGTAAATGAACCTAACTAGCTGGTGATTTGATGTAGCAAAATAGACCCCAAACGCTACCTTCAGTGATCCCTCAATCCACAGCAAGTAGGTAACCTTTACAGAGGCTTTTTCAAACTGGGGTTGGGAACAAGTTCAAGAATCAAGGGGTCTCTCATGGAAGGTATGTCTTCATTGCAGGGTGAGCCAGGGCTAGGCTAGCCCTGGTAGAACGTTCCCTAGTGCAGACCCCTACCCTGTGCCAGACCCATGTAGCTGAATCCACACTGGTGCTGTACTAAGTGCCCCTGTGGCTTTTGGCAGGACATCCTGTGGCTCTTAGCCCTGTACTAAGCTGTGCTGCTGCCAGCTGCTGCTAAGCTGCAGTGGCTAAGCTGCTGCTGTCAGCTTCTGGCCAACAGACAGCATTCTGGGGGGACGATTTCTCACATGACATGTCTATTCAAATCTGTGGAAGCACAGCAGAACTGTAACAGGCAACTTGGGGTTTAAATGCGGAGCTAGTGTAGGTGACTTCCGGTGCAGAAGAAGGAAGGAGGTAGAGAGCAAGAAAATATGGCCGAGGTGAAATTGTGGGAATGCAGTGGAGGACTTGATTAGCCTGTGTCCTCACTGCAATGTGGATGGGTTGCCAGCCTGGGCTGAGGAGAAACACAAGCTCAAGCCCAGCAGTGTATGCTAACCTGGGTTTAAAGCACCCTCAAGCCTGGGTAAGAGGTTCTGTGTGGACTGCAGGGGGTTAAGGTAAACACCCATGTTAGATCCCGGGCTAACTCTCCAGTGAAGACATACCCAGAGAATACCCTGTTGGCAGTGTACTCTCTTCTCTGTCAACCGGTCTTCTCTCCATAAAACTCTCATTGACTGGAACTATAGTTTTGCCAGAGAAAGGACTGCAAGGCTATTTTTTTAAATATTAAAAGCAGCTGCAGTAGTCTCTGCCATGTAGTCAGCAATACCTTCCATGACTGCTTAATCTAGACCGACATTTAGGGAGCTGTGAGTGGTGAAACTAAACCAGACAGTCTGGGAGCTATAGAACTAGAGAGAACCACAGGGTCTGTCTGTGTCCAGTAGCCTCAGTGAAGAATCCCCTTTATATTCATTCTAGCTGTTTCGTCTTTAGTATGAAGACTCAAGGTGCAAAAATTTGGACATAGATTTCAACGTGTTCATGGGTGTTTAGATCTGTGGGGGGGGAGGTTGTTCAACTTATTAAAGGGGTCACCAAATGACATTAATAGGCAGAAATTAATAGGCAGCAGGTTTAAAACAAACAAAAGGAAGTATTTTTCTACACTATGCACAGTCAACCTGTGGAACTCCTTGCCAGAGGATGTTGTGAAGGCCAAGATGATAAGAGGGTTCAAAAAAGAACTAGATAAATTCATGGAGGATAGGTCCATCATGGCTATTAGCTAGGATGGGCAGGGATGGTGTCCCTAGCCTCTGTTTGCCAGAAGCTGGGAATAGGCGACAGGGGATGGATCACTTGATGATTACCTGTTCTGTTCCTTCCCTCTGGGGTACCTGGCACTGGCCACTGTCAGAAGACAGGATATTGGGCTAGATGGACCTTTGATCTGACCCAGTATGGCCATTCTTATGTTCTTATATAAAGATGGGGGCTATCTGAAATATTCTAATCTAGGACTTGGTTCCAATTTCAAACACATTCGATGCTTGGGAGGTGTTCAGCTCTGAGATCTGGGATATTGATTGAGAGCTATTTCTAGTGTTATGTACAGAAATCTGATAATGAAACAGGACTCCTACAAGCCTTCTCTATGGGGTTCAATGACTGGGCAAATTATCTTTTTTCCAGATAGATCCATCTCTAACCTCTCTGAATCTATGAGCCTCCATAATGAATAATTTTGGCCTCATTGTGCTGTCACTAACATAGGTGGAAATCAAGAGTAACACCACTGACATCAATTAGTTCACACCAGTGTAAAACGCAGAGTAAACCCCTCTTTCCTTGTTTACCAACACACACCATTCTCTAGAGAGTCCAAGGGCCACAGTCTACTCTCGGTTGCACAATGTAAATCTGGAGTCACTCCAATAAAATTAATGTTAGAAGAAACACAACAAACAGATCAAGGCTGGATTTTGCTGTAGTTAGGCATATTCAAACCAAATGGGTTACTTAATCCACGTGGTGCTGCGAATTCAATTAGCTTCTGTGATTCACCTCACCCCCTCTATTTCCATTCTTGGTTAAAAAAGAAAGCGAGCAAGTATTTAGAGAGGAGTACACCTGTGAATTAGAAGCGTCAGTGGGAAAGAATGCGTAGGTTGTTCCAATCTGGTTTGTATAACTCACTGTACTTGGAGGCAGGTATATTAAATTGAAGGCTTAGGTGGGATGTAACTTAAATGAAGGCAAATAGAATATACACCTAATATGTATTTCTGCATAATCAAAACACTTTTGAAACATTTTTAACATGAGTCAAGGGTTGTTTGATCCTTTTTCAAACAAGCATTGCCTAATTATTTCATAAGATTTAGAGTTCAGCCTGTGCTGATGGAAAAAATGACAGAGAACTTGCTACCAGAGTAAATGAGTATAAATTGCAAATCATGGACCATATTCAGAGCTGATGTGAGTGCTGTTCCCAGGGAAGTCTGTGGGCCAAATGCAGTGGCCCATACAGATGAAAGTGGAGGGACCATGCATACATGATGTCAGAATCATTCAGTGAATATACTTGAAGTATAAGTTAAGAAAATACACTGTAAATGGTAAAGCAGTGTCACTTGCATTGATTTTGCATTCAAAGTGTTGCACCCATTTTGCACAACAACTCAAAAGGTGTAGAATAAGTGTGTGAGTCTGTGTGTGTTGAGGAGGGGTTGTAACTGGAAAAGCAACTAAAAAGAGAATGTAAGATAAAGAAGGGGCTCTGCTTTGTTTTAAACACTCCTGTTAACTGCTTTCCTTGCTACAACCCACTCTTCTTCCCCTCTCAGTGTAAGCAGAAGAATCAAGCTCTGTTGGCCCTCATTTTGAGCTCATTGGTTTTCCACTAATGTACATGAATGAATCTCACTGACACTACTCTTTATTCACATTGGTGTGGAGACACAGGGTCTGGGTCTTTATTCAGATGGAGCTACCTCATCCCCGGAATGGAATTTCTTCCCCCCTTCGCAGAGTTTTACTGCAGGAGGGGATGATCTGGCCTATTCTTCTTCTTTGTTGATCCAGGTGATGTGATTTCCCCTCCCCCCCCCTCTTTCGGTGACTTGCCAGCAATTTAACAAGCTTCACTGTGTGCTGGCCCTGCAGTCTGCAAGTTAGGTCTTCAGCCACTCCGAACTTAATAACCTTCTCAGCTCCTTGAAACTGATGTGCTGCTGACAAAACACCTGACAGAAATGTTTTTCAAAACAGCCACTGTAGATAGCTGGGGACAGGCAGCCAAGTCCAAAACTGCTCGCCGATTCTGAGTGAGGTGCCAATGTGTTGTGAAAGAGTCTGTCAAGAAGCAGATGAGTTTGGAAAGCAGGGCAGGTGTTTGTGCAGACTTTTATGTTTGTGTTCCATGGAGATAAAATTACCTCTCTCTGCTGAGTGAGGTGTCCAGGATTTTTAAAGAAAATGGACCTGATTCTCCTCAGTGTGAAGATGGAATAATACTTTGGAAGTTATTGCAGTCCCACCAATGCACATGTGGAGTAGATCCACTGGTTGCCTGCCTAAGTGGACCCCAACACACTGAAGCCAAAGGAGCTGTACCACTGCAAAGCTGATGTGAGATCACAGTCAGGCTGTATGTCTGTAAGAGATGGTGGTATGGATTTATCTGGTCATTTAAGCTTAAGGATGCATGTTCTCAGTTCCTCTTTCCTGTTCCTTAACAATTACCTCTGGTCCTACTTCCAAGAGAGAGATTTTAATAGTTTTAAGGCTATGCACTATGAATTGTTGCCTTAACAATTACATCATTTAACCAGAGTCATGCTAAGAACTACCCATTGCATGCTGGGAACTTGTCTGAACTTTGTTTTGAGAATTGGGCTCTCATTTGTTTTGAGTTTGTTCAAGTTTCCTTGATTTTGAACTAAGAGCTATTGGAAAATTCTGAAAGGATGGCTGTGAACAGGCTAGTAGTTTTCCAAGAATGGAGAATTATAAAACCCAAGATGAACTCAGAAGGCGCTTTTCTTGTCCTTGCTTTTGTTTTGTGTCTGTTCTTTTCTTTATTTTCCATTCCAGCTTATGGGTGTCCAACCTACTGAACGTTAAGAGTGAAATCCTAGCTCCACTGAAGTCAATGGCAAAACTCCAGTTCATTTCAATGGGGCCAGGATTTTACCAACATACCTTAGCAGGTCCAAGATTTCATTTTGCCTGCTCATTTTTCTGGGGTAGAAAACTTTGTCTAACAATGGAACGGCAACTCCAATCAAGCCTTTCTAACCTGACCACAAATGGGCCAGTCAAATATTGAAGTTGTTTTCTTTCTTCTGGGTTTTAAATGGATCAATTTTTAAAAACTTGTCCTGGCTTTTGTTAACCAATCTTTTATAGAAAACAAAACAATTATGAAAATTTTTCATTTACTGAAAAATAGGTTCTGAGTAAACAAAATATTCTAATGATCATGTCAATAATGTTTTATAATTTTTTCAATAATAATTTCAACTAAAATGACATGAAAAATATTGGAAAAAGCAAGATCAATCAAAAAAGTCAACAGGATGTGTGTGGGTTTTTTTTAAAAAAAGCTCATTTGGAGATGAAAAAAAACTTTTGCGTGAACATTTTTGACCAATTCCAATTAAGTCCAATTCAAGTGACCCTGCTGTACCATTTACAGTATATTTTCTTAACTACCTGCTACCTCACCAGAAGAGGGAGTATCCTCTTTTCCTTTTTCATGTTTTCTTTTTTCATCCATGTTTGTCTGTATTTCTCTTTGGTGGGGGAAAGTGAGTTAACAAAGCTCAGAGTTTTGTAAGTAAGCCGAGAACATTTTGCTGTAACATCCTTAACATTTCCATCACCGAAGACAAGGCTTAAGAAACAAACCTGGTTTTGTAACTTGCAGTTTTTCCCTCAGACGTAAATAAACAAAGCAAAGGGGCTCCCACCTTGTGTAGTTAGAGACGTTAAACCTGCAATTGTTAAAAATAACTTTATGGAGCAGCACTTGCTGGAGGTGTCAAAATGACATTAAATAATCATACAATAAAGGACGGCTGATCCTTTGCTTTCCCACTGTCATGAGACCCAACCCTTTCCTAGCTGCCTGACCTCTTGCAACTCTCTGAAACTCATCTCAGCCCGCACTCACTGCCTGTTCTCTCCTCCTCTCTCCCTGGACACCTGCTCTCTATCACCTTCCTCGGGTCTGGCTTGCCTTTCTTTCTAGAGTTTCCTGACCATCTACCCTCCTTGACCTGACTCCCAGCTGCTGCTTTCCAACCCATGCTTCAAACAACCTGTTTTTAAAACCGAGGCATTAATAGGAATGATGAGGTATTAAAATCTTTGGGAAAAGCCCCTCGTGCTGACCCCTGGAGTTGGGAATTAAAAAAACAAAAAGCCAGAAATTACATCAAAGTTCAAGAAAACAGAATTCTTTGTCCTGGGGCTTTCCATTTTATCAATGGACTCAACGACTCACTTTTCAGCCTGTGGAGCGCCCAGCCATGGAGGGGACACGATAAAGAAGATGGCATGTATGAATAAATCTTTTTCCTTGATACTTCACACCCCTTCTCAACTTACCAGGAAAGCAAGAGCTAATAATGTCTACCAGTCATGGATATAAGGATAGACAGAGAGGAACAATGCATGCTACAAAAAGAATTGAAGCTACAAAATGTACCTATGTCAGGGATGGCTGCACAGATTGAAGATGTAATTGAAAGCATTATTATTCCAGAAACACGGGTTGAATGACAGAAAAATCAGATATGTTGTCTCAGTACAAGAGTCATTAGGATGTCAGGATTAATTCCCATCTCGTTTGTGGAACCTCTTTTTCCCTGTAAATTGTTCAACTTAACCCCCAGCCCATACTATGGTTGTCCACCATAGTGTGGACAAGGCCAGAATGAAATGGGGTTGCTAGTCTGTGTTTAAAAATAAAATTACACTTCAGTGACTGAAACCTAGATGGATTTTTATCATTTCTTTTGTTGGCATCAGAAATCACAAATAGGTTCTTCTTGGAAGTTGCTAGATATAAGAAAGAATTTGTGTAAAAAAACAGAAGATCTGTTTCTTCCCGGAACTCATTTCTGCAGGCATAAAGAACAGAAATTAGAGATGCGACAGAAAAGATGTCGTTAAAGAAGTAGAATCAGCTCAATTAATTCCAGCTAAATTTTAAGGAATCTTCAATACAAGAGTCTTTTCCCCTATATTTTCTCAAACTTGAAATCTGAAAAACATCTGTTAGGGAAGGTAAAAGAAGAAAACTGAGGTCAGGATAGAGAAAGAGGGTCCAAAATAGACAGATAACAAGCCATTCTGGAAAAGTATACACCATTCATAAAGAAATCAGATTAGATGTGATCTGAAGAATTTCCAGTTCCTAAAATTGCTGTTAAACTTCAGTCATTGTTTTGTACTTAAGGCTGAATATTGTCCTTACTCTCTATACTTTGCCCTATGCACAATGGTGCATCAGCACATAAAAAGACGGATGTTTGTGAAAATAGCTCAAAATTACATGAGCCCAGGATAAAATGGACTAAGGTTTATTTGAAATTACAACATTTTTTCAATGAAAATACTTTAATTGAAATTTAAACTGTCTTCTGCAACATTATAAACCCAAATGCAACAGGTTGTTCTTGTTTTTGAGGACCAGGAAGTGAAACTAACAAGTCAAAATTTCACTGTTCAAGGTCAGGTGACAAGCAAAGAAATTAAAAACAACATAAAAAGCAAAAAGTAAATTAGAATTGTCTCATAGAAATATTTTCCAGTTTAACCCTTAGAATCCTGGGGCTGAGAAGTGAGGAAACATCTTATTAAATGGCTTGAATTTCCTAACATTTTTATACCAGCTGAATTGGCCCATAATCCCTAGCACATAGCTGCATGGAATCCAAGACAGTTCTCTAGCGATTGAAGTAAGATGTTAGAGGTGTCTGTCTCTAATCCCGAGTTTAGTGTAACAATTGCTATACCAGGAGTGGGACTGTTTGCCCATTTCTGCTGCTTTGGGGAGATGGAGGTTTGAACCAGTTCTTGCCTACTAGCTTGAAGACCCTGGTGAATTTGGGAGTGGCAGTGAGGGACATACTAGCATTTTCAAAGATGGAACACCCATCTTCCATCTTTGGGTGACCAGATGTCCCAATTTTATAGGGATTTTATAGGGACAGTCCCGATTTTTGGGTCTTTTTCTTACATAGGCTCCTATTACCCCTCACTCCCTGTCCCGATTTTTCACATTTGCTGTCTGGTCACCCTAGATGGGGGTGGAAAACATCTTGTGCTTCCAGAAACCCTTATGACAGAGCTGGGAATAGGTCTGGAAAAAGACAGCTAGAGACAGACTGAGGTTGGGGCAAGGAAATGTGCTTGTCAGAGAGAGGGCAGGATAGTGGGGGTGGGTCTAGAACTGTGTAAACTGCAACATGCCCAATGTAGATCTTATTTACATGCACCAATGTAAATCAGGAGTAACTCCATTGAAGTCAATGAAGATAAACACATGCAAAACCAGTGTGAGATCAGACAGCTCCTAGCTCCATGAATGTTGATGGACTTGGGCTGATGAGTTGGCAAATAGTACTAGAAACCAAACACAGCCTAAGGTTGGGTGTATTCAGGGTTTTGGATGAATTCTTTATATCCCACTACTGAAGACGTAGACATATGCCAGCTTCCAAAGGGCTGGTAATCGAAGATGATGTAACAGGTAAGGAATGTTTTTTTTAATATATGTTGTTTATCTTGACAACGTCCCTTTATATTGCTACTAAGGGTATATCTACGCTGCACACCGTAACATGTGGCTACATGCCATAGTGAAAAGCAGGCTGTATCCACACAATGGTGTGTAGCTCACTGTGGCAGGGAAAGGCTTCAGCAGCTGCCTGTGGGGGGAAAAGCAGGCTCCAGCAGCAGGACACTACATGGCTAAAAACAGGGAAAGGCACTGCTTGGGCATGTAGAAAGTCCCATGTAGATGCATAAAATAAGGGTCTGGCATGTCTTTACTCTACTTGCCTAAGTAGAGCCTCACACCATCTACACTGGTAATGGCAATTATACCCATGCTGGGGGACAGGGGGGAGACACAGGACATAGCGTATGTACTCTACATGCTGACGAAAGGAGTGTGCACCATAGACATACCCTAATGATTCTCTGTTTATTAGATACTGCATGGGCCTGATCCACTTCTCCCGTATACTGTTTTTTTCCTTACTGGTGTAACTTCATGAACTTGAGTGGAGTCACTCCTGATCTATGCTGCAGAGAGAGGAGAATCAGGTCCATATATTTAAATCAAAATGAAAAGCAGGGGTAGAATGACATTCACCAGTGAGGTACTTTTAGTCAGGCTTTTATTATGTGAAACATATTTCTTTTGGATTCTTTTTTCAGTAATCACAATATTTAAAGGTAAAGTGGAAGAAGTTGAACTGCCTGAGGATAAAGTAGACATCATCATCAGTGAATGGATGGGTTACTGTCTTTTCTATGAGTCAATGCTAAACACAGTCATCTTTGCACGAGACAAGTGGCTGGTAGGTGCTCTGCATGTCATACTCCTTGCTGGAGGTCTGGTCATTTATTTTCCAGTTGCAAGCCCTCCCCTTCTACTACCACCAGCATCAAAAAGACACAGTTATGTTCAAGTGCCCTTTCTTAGGCTTTAATAGAAAGATTAGCATGGGGAGCTCAGTAAACTGGGAAACTTTTCATTTTAAAAGTAAGCTTTGCTTTTGAGTGACAGCTGGTACAATTCTGATAGACTCTATTTATCTAACAACATTGCCGCAGGGTGCAAGAATCTCTGAGATATTAAAAGCCGATGTGAAAAATCTGAAGGAGAACAATAAAGGCATGCGGAGGGTGCTTGTCTGGTTTTTGTATGTGCAGTTCAAAATGTGATGTCTTTGTCAGGTGAATAGATTACGAGATCCATTTCCCCACAATTCATCAACAGAAACCTGGAGGGCTTATGTTTCCAGACCGGGCCGCTTTGTACGTGGTAGCAATTGAAGACCGACAGTACAAGGACTTCAAAATTCACTGTAAGTACAAGTCTAATACATTCCTCCTGTGTGATCAGCTCCATGAAAATATTTTTATTTCCTCATTCACATTGTTACAGAGTAGCCTTGTGGACTGTTCATAATAGATACATTGGGCATGATTCTCCTCTCACTTATCTTAATTTTACACCAGTGTGACTTTACTGGAGTTACTCCTGATTTAGACTAGTGTGAGGTTAGATAAGACAAAACCCTCAGGTGGCTTTCTTACACTTGGTATGTTATTTGCAAACTGCATGAAATAATGAGAAAATGCACTGCCATTTAAGAATTACTATTCGTTTTAATAGGCTGGAACTTCAGGTGTGTAAATCAACATAGCTCTGTTGACTTCAGTGGAATCATAGAATATTAGGGTTGGAAGAGACCTCAGGAGATCATCTAGTTCAATTCCCTGCTCAAAGCAGGATCCACACCAACTAAATCAAATTAAATCAAACTAAATGGAGTTAGGATGATTTACACCAGGGGTTCTCAAACTGGGGGTTGAGACCCCTCAAGGGGTCATTAGGTTAATATGTGGGGGGTCACAAGCTGTCAGCCTCCATCCCAAACCCCTCTTTCCTCCAGCATTTATAAAGGTGTTAAATATATTAAAAAGTGTTTTTAATTTATAAGGGGCGGGGTCGCACTCAAAGGCTTGCTGTGTGAAAGGGGTCACCAATACAAAAGTATGAGAATCACTGATTTACACCAATTGAGCATATGGCCAAAAGTTAAAGCTATTGCTTGCTAGGTGTTTTATCAGTCTCAGCGGCTGTGAAAATACATACTGCCCCTGCTGATATTAGCATTTTGCATAAGCACATCTTTATTGTAGCCTGATTCTGGTCTCCCTTAAACTGATATAGATCAAGAGAAACTGCACTGAAATCAATGGAATGACACCAGTGTAAACCAGGTGTGAGATCAGAATCAGTCCAATTGAACTAAATTGAATTGCTCTTGAATTAGACTTGTGTCAGTGAGATGAGAAGCAAGCTCCTGGTGTTTATATAACAACACGCCCCTGATTTTATTGTCACATTCCATCAAGCCCATAGCTCTCACTCCTTGAATTTCAATCTATTTTTTGCAGGGGGAAGGTGGTGGGGTGTCATTCTTCGTCCTGTATTTGTTTTACATCATCCAGTGTTTAGTTGCACCTGCGGAGAACAACAATCCTGCCACACTGCTGCAAGCTCCCCTCTGGCAAAGTCTTGCTATAAGAGAAGCTGCCGAGAAAGTTAACGGAGTGTGGGCACTAGGTCACAAATACAGTATCCAGATGAACACAAAGAAACATTCATTAGTATGGAACACTGTATTAAGTAGGAGGGAGAAAACATGTATAGAACATTGTCGGTTGAATGTCTGATTGTTGCCCCCCTCCTCCAAAAAAACAACCACCACCAGTAATCTTCCCTAAATATGAACTTCCTGGGATTTTTTTAAAAACTGCATCACTCCATTGTGCTATCTAGAGCAATTACCATAAAAATCTACACTTTTGACTGCCTAGAGGTATGCAGTGTCATGGTAGCCTAGAGGCAGCACTTAGGTGAAATTTAAAATTTTTATTAAAGCTCATGTTAAAAAATTATATAATAAATACACAGGTTAAGAAAAGAGTGTCTGTACATCTGGATATCGTGCTTAGATTATCCACAAATACAAAGTTGGATTTTAAAAGTCAGAAGATACATACAGTACATAATCAGCAACAACCCAAATTAAGGTGAATAGATTTAACAATGCAGTTTAGATATTAGCATCCAAGTATCTGGGTACATCACTCATGAAAAGTTATACAGAGCGTTCATTGTGGAAAGCAAATATATTTCCCTATTCTCAGCACAGTGAGTACAACTGTAACATTAACAGTTTGCAAAGGAGCTTAAAATCTTTACAAGTGGCAACCACTGTAAGTGTGAAAGTTTATTGATACAGCTGGTCAAAAAATATATATATTTCACATTTTTGAAAAATGAATTTAATTTGTCCAAAATTTTCTGAGTATTTATTTATGAAAAAAGTTTCTAAACATAATTTTTCATTTCATTTTGATGGAGAAAACCATAATTTTAATTAAAAATAATATTTCCACTGGGGAGAAAAAACGGGGTAGAGAATTAAAAAGGCAAGAGAGAGTTGACTTTCCCCCCCACCAAAACAAAAGTTTTTAATAAAAGTTTTTTAAAAATTGCATGAACATTTACTAAAATTTGTTCACAGAAATTTTTGTTTTGGCTGTGAAGACCTTTTCTGGCAAAAAGAAGTTTCCATGGGAAAATTTCCAACCAGCTCTGCTTATTAGGGCCATGTGGTATATAGGAGCTTGGAAAAGAACTAGTGGGCTCAATTACCAGTCAGATGCACACACGCAACTCCCCCTTATCGGCTTCATCCCAGTCTTACAACCTGTCAACTTTCCAAAAAAAGAGTCTTGATTTTTCTGACTGAAGTGCAGTCTTGGGGGGCCTTGTTCTTCCATCAAAGGATACAAGTAACTCCCACTGAGCTCAATGGGAGTCATTAGCACCACAAACTGGATTCAGGATTGGGCCCATTACAAGGGTCATCTATAGCAGTGGTTCTCAAAGCCAGTCCGCCGCTTGTTCAGGGAAAGCCCCTGGTGGGCCGGGCCGGTTTGTTTACCTGCCGCGTCCGCAGGTTCAGCCGATTGCGGCTCCCGCTGGCCGCGGTTCACCGCTCCAGGCCAATGGGGGCTGCAGGAAGCAGCAGCCAGCACATCCCTCAGCCCACGCAGCTTCCCGCAGCCCCCATTGGCCTGGAGCAGCAAACCACGGCCAGTGGGAGCCACGATTAGCCGAACCTGTGGACGCGGCAGGTAAACAAACCGGCCCGGCCTGCCAGGGGCTTTCCCTGAACAAGTGGCAGACCGGCTTTGAGACCCACTGATCTATAGCACTGACTCTCAACCTTTCCAGACTACTGTACCGCTTTCTGGACTCCGATTTGTTTTGCATACCCCAAGTTTCACCTCACTTAAAAACTACTTGCTTACAAAATCAGACATAAAAACACAAGTGTCACAGCACATTATTACTGAAAAATTGCTTATTTTATCATTTTTACCATATAATTACAAAATAAATCAATTGGAATATAAACATTGTACTTACATTTCAATGTATAGCATATAGAGCAGTATAAACAAGTCACTGTCTGTATGAAACTTTAGTTTGTACTGACTTTGTTAATGCTTTTTATGTAGCCTGCTTTATAATTAAGCAAATATCTAGATGGGTTGATGTACCCCCTGGAAGACCTCTATGTACCCCCAGGGGTACACATAGCTAGGGTTGCCAACTTTCTAATTCCAGAAAACCAAACACCCTTGCCCGCCCCTGCCGAACTCCCTGCCCTGCCCCTTCCCGAGGCCCCTCCCCCAGCTCACTCCATCCCCCCTCCCACTGTCACTTGGTCACCCTAGCTGCAGGAGACTTCCCATGCTTGCGGGCCCCTTGCCCAGGGGGCTGCAGCGCTGCCGTGCCCAGCGTGAAGGTTGAGCCCCAGAGCGAAGGGACCATAGGCTGGCCCCCTGGCACTGAGGGGGCTCTGCTCTGCCTGGGCCCCAGGCTGCTGGCTGAGTTTTATTGTCTGGTTTTATTGCCTTTTTATTTTCTCTCTCTGATTATGATATTGCCCGGGAGGACTCCACTCTTCCAGGGGCTGCCTAAATCACTCAGTTGGGAAGGGAGGAGGCTGGGCTGGAGGGAGGAAGATGCAGGGTGTGGAGGAGAGAGGATAGGGAGGAAAGAGACCAAGGATGAGAGCAGGGTGGGGGTGAGAGGGGGCAGTGAAGGAGAGAGGAAGGGATATAGGGGGTATGTGAGGTGAATGGGGATGCAGAGGGAGGCAGAAGGTTACAGGTGCAGGAGGATGTGGGCAGGGCTGGCTCCAGGCACCAGCTTGCCAAGCAGGTGCTTGGGGCGGCCACTCCGGCACGTCCAGCTATTCGGTGGCAATTCGGCGGACGGTCCCTCACTCCTGCTCGGAGCGAAGGACATCCCGCCGAATTGCCGCCGCAGATCGCTATCGCGGCTTTTTTTTTTTATTTTTTTTGCGCCGCTTCGGGCGGCAAAAACCCTGGAGCCGGCCCTGGATGTGGGGGTCACAGGAGTGTAAAGGGACATAATGAGAGTGCAGCAATGTATGGAGGTGAATGAGGTGCAGGGCTGTGGAGTGTGAGGGACATGGAGGGCGGCTCTGGGAGGTGGAGAGATGGGTGGGAGAGTGCTGTAAGGGGTACAGGGCTGGGATGGGTAGGGTTGGGAGGCAGGGCAGGATGGGACAGAGGAGAGATGCAGTGAGCGGGATGCGGGGGGTGCAGCCCCATTCCCACCACTCAGAGATGGGGATACATACCTCAATCTCCTGGGTGCCAGCAATGGGGTGACCAACCGTGGTTCGCCACAGGGCATGTGCCGCAGCTCAAGCCCAGCCACAGGAGGAGCGCAAGGAGGAGAAGTGGGCCGGTAGCAGCGGGAGAGGCCTGCGCCATGACCCCTCAACAGCCATCTGCTGAGCGTTCTTGAGTCGTGCTAGTTCGGCCCCTGCCCTGACCCTGCTAATGGGAGTTGCGCCTGCAGGCGGGGTGTGAGGCAGTACACAGACCCCCCTGGCTGCCCCTAAGCCGAGGAGTTGGACATGCCAGCTGCTTCCCAGGAGCTGAGCGGCGCGGAGGCTAGCAGGGAGCCTGTCAGCCCCGCTGCATGGCGCTGCTAACCAGACAGTCAAAAGCCCGGTCAGCCATGCTGACCGGAGCCACCAGGATCCCTTGTCGACTGGGTGTTCTGGTCGAAAACCAGACACCTGGTCACCCTACACATAGCCCTGGTTGAGAACTACAGATTTATAACATCCAAAGCGGATTGTCATCTCCTCCTTGTCCAAAGGCAGGAATATTTTCAGATTTTTTTTTGGTTGCAGAAGCAGACAAAATCCCATAAAATCAGAGTTACAAAATGCTGTATGAAGGACACTTCATGTAAAATAACAAAAATGCTTCCTGTCACCCAAAAATGCACTCTCCCACTTTTTTGCCCTCTTTTTCCATCCTGTTTTCTACTTTCCCTTCTATAACTTGATGTCTTTTCTTCAGGCATATTCAGTGTCTTTGTTTTCCCCTGATTTATTGGTCTGTAAGTTTTTTCATGCCTTTTAAGTGTCTGGTTCCCCCCCCCCAAAAAAGCCTATTTTCCTTCAAAACATTTTTCTTTTCTGATATCCTTTCTTCCCTATTTATACTATCAGTTTTTTTCCTCTGTCTTCTTTACTCCTTTCTGTCCAAATCTCTTCTCCCACCACACTATTTTCTCTCCTCTAAATTTCTAACTCCTCCCTAGTATCTCACTTCACTTTTATTTCTCCCCATTACTTTGTTCTTCTTGGGATGGGAACCAGAGTCTCTCACATGCCAAATGCAGTGATGGGTGTTTCAGAAGGTGCTCAGAAATCATGCCCCTGCCCCAAATCATGAAATTGGTTTAAAAATAATTATTTTGGGGGAGAGTGGGGGTATTTGCTTTCTGATCTGTGATCCTTTAGGGTTCATATTTTCCAGCTTTTTTTTAATGGAACCATGAGGGCTATAAACTTGGCACTTAAAATGAAAGCTGAGATTCTCCTATAATAACATGACTCAAGGAGCTGGGGCTTTCAGAAAACACACCAATATTGGGTGAGTAAGGATAGATTTCATAACAAGAGGGTGGAAAAAGAAAAAGAAAAAAAAAAGATTTTCAGGAGTCACCCCACCTCCCCAAAAATGTGGGCAAGTTGACAGCCCCATCAAAGGACACCATTACCAAAGAATATATCTTTGCCAAATATGTTGCAATTTAGAATCGTACTTACTGACCTTTTACTATTGCTGCCAATTCTGACCCTGCTGGGAATTCCAAGAACTCAACTGCTGTGCTCTGAGAGGAGAAGCTTTTGCAAATCTGCTCCCTACCATGGTTTGTCAATTTACCTTGCTTGTTCTCATGCATAATACTATTTTTAAATGCTCAAAGTACTTTTCCAGCCATTCTTCTACTCAGCACACACTGCAGCCCACATGACTTTTGTAACTTTCAGTTTAGACCTTTAATGGGGCAGTGTGGTTTAATGGAATTTGACTCATCTGGTTCAGGAGAGTAATATGATTTTGGTTTTAAAAAACAAATCCAAAAATGTAACAGTTCTTTGTATTTTTTTCATGAAGAAATGTCAACCATAAGAGCAGAGCCAATGTACTTTCCCCCTAGATAAGAGCAGAGCCAATGTACTTTCCCCCAGGGGATCATTTGTTCAAAGAAAGAAACTCAGCAAGATAAAAGGCACTTACTGGTACAGTCATCAGAACAGTTCAAATACCTAGTGAGCTCAACTCAGCTTGCAAGCTTTTTAGAAGGCAATCTGTCATGATGTACTTGCATTAAGGTCTTGATCCTCCAAACACTTAAAGATATGCATAACTTTACTCTCATGACTAGTCCACTGACACGATAAGGCAAGGGGTGGCTAACCTGTGACTCCAGAGCCACATGCGGCTCTTCAGAAGTTAATATGTGGCTCTTTGTATAGGCACTGACTCTGGAGCTGGAGCTATAGTCGCTGACTTTCCAGCATGCTGGGGGTGCTCACTGCTCAACCCCTGGCTCTGCCACAGGCCTTGCCCCCACTCCACCCCTTCCTGCCCCCTCCCCTGAGCCTGCCATGCCCTCACTCCTTCCCCTCCCGCCCAGAGCCTCCTGCATGCCATGAAACAGCTGATCGGGAGGTGCGGGGAGGGAAGGGGAGGTGCTGATTGGCGGGGCTGCCAGTGGGCGGGAGGCGCTGGGAGCGGGGTGGGGGACCTGATGGGGGGGCTGCTGACGTATTACTGTGGCTCTTTGGCAATGTACATTGTTAAATTCTGGCGCCTTCTCAGGCTCAGGTTGGCCACCCCTGCGATAGGGGCTACTCATGTTTTTGCAGGATCAGGGCCTACGAGATTAAATGTTATCTAGAAGTCAGAGCAAGGGACAAGGATCCAGGATTCTTGAGTTCTATTCACAACAATTTGGCTGACTTGCTGTGTGATTTTGGGCAACTCATTTAAATGAGTAAGTCTTTAAAAGTGTCCACTGAACTTGGGTGTCTTAGTTATTGGGGAATCCAAAACAAGAGGCCACTTTTAAAGTTTTGAGCCTTGATCTTCCTGTGCCTTATCTGCAAAATGGAGATTTTGCCACTTATCTATTTAACAGGGGTGCTGTGAAAGCTAACTAATTGGTTGTGAAAGGCTTTGAGATTCTGGAACAGAAGCAACTATGCAAAGTGCAAAAGATTTATTTATTTTGTATTACTTCTCACCTTTGACACATCCATTTGCATTCACAGGGTGGGAGAATGTGTATGGCTTCGACATGACCTGTATTAGAGATGTTGCCATGAAGGAGCCCCTGGTCGACATAGTAGATCCAAAGCAAGTGGTGACCAATGCGTGTTTAATTAAGGTTTGGTAATTCTAAATGTACTTAAATGTGAACGCTTACACTTATTGTGGCATTCTTTGGAGATGCATTATTTTTTCTTTAACACTATCTTTTGGGGCTACTGACAAGCTGCAGATACCATCAGTATGGAATGTGATAAAACTAAGAGGGAAAATAATCTTAGTTTTCATAATATCCAGTATATGCATGTTGCACATGTCAAGTGTCATCAGCTCAGCTAAACATGAATACTAATACCTTGGTCACATATGGTACTACCCAAATTGGAAGATGTCACCTGAGAGTGGGATTTTGTGCTCATCTGGCTGCTGCTATAAATGGATCTCCAAACACACCTTCAAACTCTCACAAATTAAAAATAAATCTTTTTGGGGGGGGGGTAATCAGTGCAAGTACTGGGTAAATGGAGACACTGTACATATTTCAATATGTATTTTAATTGTTCTTCCTCCCTGTGAACAGATATTGCAAATTTGAGATGGAAAGCTACTGGGGAGAGGTGTTAAATGGATTTAGTTACAGTGAAAAGATTAAGGCACCAGATGATATTAACTGCTGGAATAACTCCAGTTTTATCCCAGTGTATGAGATCTGCATTTGGCCTTAAATTGTCAACATGATTTCGGTAGCCAAGTTCTCACTCTTTTTCATACTGGAACCTCCCAGCACTCTTCTCCCATCTAGCTTGGATATAGCTGTGCCCCAGCTCCTATTTAGCAATATGTGAAGGGCAGGGTGGTCACAACCCCCTTACGACTGTTCAGAACCCCAGGTTGAGGATCCAGGATAGTTCATAGATTCTAAGGCCTTGTCTACACTGCCACTCTACAGCGCTGCAACTTTCTCACTCAGGGGTGTGAAAAAAATACCCCCCTGAGCGCTGCAAGTTTCAGCGCTGTAAAGTGGCCATGTAGACAGCGCACCAGCGCTGCGCTCCCAGCCCTGGTAGCTATTCCCCTTGTGGAGGTGGGTTTTTTTATAGCACTGGGAGAGCTCTCTCCCAGCACTGGTGCCACGGACTACACAGCCACATTAAAGCGCTGCGGCTAGTGAAGAGATGCCCTTAGGCTAGAAGGGACCTCTGTGATCATATAGTCGGACCTTCTGTATAACACACGGCATAGAAGTTCCCAAATTCCCCTTTTTTAGGGCTAACCCTTGTAGTCCTTATTTCCCTGAATAGTCCCAGGTAGTTCAATAGGGCTATTTGCATGAATACATTTTGCTTGCATGAGTAATGGTTTGCATGAGCCAGTTCCACTTTCCCTATTGTTATCTGTATCTCTGGCTGGCAAGAGGCAAAGTACTGACTAATATTTCAGATTATGAAAACAGGAAAGAACAAAAATAAAAGCTCTATGCGAGAGCACAGTGTGTGCATGCTGTATCTGCACTCAGTTGAACATGAGATAGCTGTCTGTCTTTGTAGAGAGCACAGGCCTTAGTTATTTAAAATCATAGCACACAGAAAACAAAGTTAGCTAAATAGACTACTGCACACGATAGTTAAGATGGAATATAACTCTAAAATGAACTTTAAATGAACTAAACAAATGATGGATACATAGTGCAAGAACAGATGGTTGAATAGCTTGATTTCCCTGGTACCATGTAATGTGAGAGCTGCATGTTTGTTGGCCCAAATCTAAAACCTTTAACAAAAACTCATTGAAATCAACAGGGTATAGAAAGACAGACTGAATTGCTGGTCTTAAATTTGCTCCTATTCAAGTTTGTGCTATGCAAGCTAGTACTGGAGAGGGGGAGTAAGAAGTAGCAACAAAACCCACTGTCGTAAGGCTTTTCACTCCAATGTTAGCTAGAATTTTCTACACTCAAGTTAATGCCTCTCCAGTTAGCTGCCCAGAGCGTTTGGATTAGCAGCACAGAGTAGGTGAGTCCCCACTGCATTACTAACCCGATTTCAGCAGCTCTCAGGCTTCAACCCACATCCCCAGACAGGCCCGCTAGCTTGAGTTTAAAGCACCACTTAGTTTGAGCTAGAGACCTCTGTGCACGCACAGGAGTAGAGCTATGGGCAACACTTACTGGTAAGTTGTACATTGAGTCAACAGTTCAGTGAAGACAAGCCCTTAGAAAGAAAGCGAACACCCCTTCTGTGAACTTTTCTAGAGTGGTCTTAAATTTAACTGCTTATTTTCAAAACGTAAGGTGCAATAAACTCTGCATTCACCTAACATTACAAATGCTTCTTCCTTATATAACACCTTCCTCTGAGAGAGTCCACCCACTTGCATCTGTCAAGAGGACCATGCCTTCTGAGCAGCAGGCATCATGCATTCAGCAGGGTTTAGCAGATTTTAGAATCAATGAATAGTGTCTCCACCTGTGGAAACTGTGTCAATAACCTGAGGGCAAGCTTTAGTCCCCCCAAGGACATTTTACAGCATATCTAGGGCCCTGTCAAATTCACAGCCATGAAAAACGTGTCATGGACCATGAAATCTGGTCTCCGCTCCCATGAAATCTCATCTTTTGTGTGCTTTTACCCTATATTATAGGGATTTTATGGGGGAGACCAGTGTTTCTCAAATTGGGGGTCCTGACCCAAAGGAGAGTTGCAGGGGGGGTCCACAAAGTTATTTTAAGGGGGTCATGATATTGCCACCCTTACTTCTGCACTGCTGCCTTCAGAGCTGGGCAGGCGGAGAGTGGAAGCTGCTGATGAGGGCCCAGCTCTGCAGGCAGCAGTGCAGAAGTAAGGGTGGCAATCCATACCATGACATCCTTACTTCTGCTGGTGGCGGCTCTGCCTTCAGAGCTGGGCTCCCGGCCAACAGTCACTGCTCTCCAGCTGCCCACCTCTGAAGACAGCGCCGTTGCCAGCAGCAGCGCAGAAGTAAGGGTAGCAATACCGCAACCTCTGCTACAATAACCTTGTGACTCCCCCCAATTCCTTTTTGAGTCAGGACCCCTACTATTACAACACTGTGAAATTTCAGATTTAAATAGCTGAAATCATGACATTTATGATTTAAAAAATCCTATAACTGTGAAATTGGCCAAAATAGACCGTAAATTTGGTAGGGCTCTAAGCATAACACACTTAGTAGGAGCCATGCTAGACTATCTAAGGGCCTGATTCTTCTACCCTTACATTGAAGAGTGCCTTATTCTATCATAGCGCCATTAGAATCAATGGAATGAATAGCTGAGTCAGGTACTACTTAATGTCAGTAAAGGTCTCAGAATCTTGCCCTAAAGTAGTTAATAAACTCACAATCTGGTCAGTGAAAACACAGGAGGTGACAAGGTGGGCTTTATATAGGGGTATATTTAGGGAACTCTGTTTTCTGTGTGATGTGATTTTAAATCTAAAAATACCTTAAAAACCCATAAGATAATAAACTGTAGTAAAAAGCTGGCTGAACAAATATGGGTGCAAGTAGACTGAGAAGGTGGTTCTCCATATACTGACTCCATAAAAAACTTTTGGGAACCCCCAGCAGTTTTAAGGCTTATCTCCCATCTACCCATAAAGATAAGGTAGGTTGTCATAACCCCTCCAGACCTGTTCACAACCTCTTGAGGGTCATGACATCTGGTTGAGAACCCATAGTTTTCCGCAGGTCTGCCTCATGCAAGGGCTAATGCCTAAAACACACGCTGGGGTACCTAACAATGAGAGTACGCAGTGGTAAAAAAGAAACCTGGCTTGTTTTTTCAAGTGTCTCATGATCTGTGGTGTGCCCATTTTTGGGTTGTCCAAAAGGGGGGCCTGATTTTCAGAGGGCAGGGGCATAACACTTTCTGCATGGAGCCACACATCCCCAGAGAGAGCTCTGGGAAGCAATGAGCCTGAAGGAGGCACAATGCCTCTAAGTGCCTAGGGAGTTTGGCCACATGCCAAATGCGCTCCTGCCCATATCCCCACCCTGCAAGAGTGGAATGATTTTGCCCCAATGAGTCTGGGGGAGGGACTGAACCATTCCCTTTCAGCACCAGGAGACAACTCAAGAAGGGTCCCAACACAAGTTCCTTTCTCCCCACTCCTCTTAAAAATAAAAACAAGACCCACAGCACTTACTTTGGCTATCTTCCACTTCTCTTGCTGTGGTGCCACCTTTGACTGGCTTCCATCCTGTAATCATCTTCAGACAGCATGCCGAGCCTCCACTCCCTAGTTTCTCCTCCTCCTTCTCCTCCAGATCCCTCTTTGTGTGAAATCTTCTCTGACTCCTTTCCCTCTTTCCAAACTCCTCAGTCTCCTTCCTCTTCCTCCACACCACCTCTCTCTTCCTCCCTCAGATTCCAGTTTCTCCTCTCCATGAATCCTCCTCCCCCATGAATCAATCTCACCTCACTCTCCACCCTCATCCCCAAACACTTCATTCTCTCGTCTCCAAACTGCCTCCTGCCCTGTTCTCTTTCCCTCTTCCAAAATCCTCCTCTCTTCCTTTCCTCAAGTTCCCCTCACAGCTGCACCCCTCATGACTATCAGGGGCAGCTCTAGGCACCAGCGCACCAAGCGCGTGCCTGGGGCGGCAAGCCGCGGGGGGGCGGCCTGCCGGTCCCTGTGAGGGCGGCAGTCAGGCTGCCTTCGGCGGCATGCCTGCAGGAGGTCCACCGGTCCCGCGGCTTCGGCGGCAATTCGGCGGCGGGTACGCGGAAGGCGCGGGACCGGCGGACCTCCCGCAGGCATGCCGCCGAAGGCTGCCTGACTGCCATGCTTGGGGTGGCAAAAGACATAAAACCGCCCCTTATGACTATACTACCAAAGGGGTTGTCTGGCAGTGGGAGTAGAAGTGAAAAGAGAAACTCCTACCAGCCAGTGCTGCACCCTCTTTCCCTGGTCAGGCCTCTTCTCTCCTGCAGAGCTGGTGTGGGAGGGCCCCAGGTAGGAAAGGAGCCACAGCTGCAGGCTCTTGCCTGCCCAGCAGGATGACACTGCTGAGGGCCCTGCTGGCATGAGACTACAACTGCAGCCACTTCCTGTTATTGAGGCCAGGATGGAGGCAGGGTTAACAGAGCACTGAGGCAGCTGCACAAAGCACCCTCAGACTCTCCTTCTTTCCCGCTCTGCAGCCTCCTCTCCACAGCCACCCAAAAGATCAGGGGCTGAGGGGGAGGCATTGCTGTCCCCCTCTCCCCAAGTTGAAAGTGGGGAATGTGATTTCCGCTCCTTCCCCTCTAATTATTCTCACACTCTTCACGCACTCTTGAGGTGACTAGTGCTACTTGTGGCACAAACCAAATCTTCCACCCTCCTGAATACAAGAACTGAGTGGGACACATAGCAGAGAGGTTCCTTATGCCCATATTCCCCTCTGTGCTTCTCCACAGGCCCCCAGACACAATTTGGTCCTAGGTAGTTAGCTGCTGTGTTTATCAGTCTTACTATTTCTCAACTTAACACTTTATTACAATTAAGGGCTCTATTTGGACCAGCCTTGTGCTCAATTATGCCCAATTTTTGCATAATTTAGAGAGAAATGTGGAGGAGCATGACTTTTCCATCTAATTTTATGCAAAATTAGCATTCAGCCACCTGGGTTTTTGACTGAGAAGCAGAACACGCATCTAGTATAGGAATGTGTGGCAGCTGAAATGGAGGTTAAGAACAGGGATTGAGTCAGTACAAAATTGTACAAATTAATCAATACCAGATTTTTTTTAATCTCCTACTCTGCATGGCAAATTAAAGTATGGTTCTGCTCTGAAAAAATGACTGTAAAAATGGCACCTTCTTACCAGTATTTTTGTTCCCTATAGATTTCCAGAGACATTTTTACTAACTTCGCTGACAAAATACTCTGACAAAATAATGTTTTTTATTGCTTTTGATTCTGCTTCACCCTGCAGAGCCAATGCAGCTCAGAGAGGGGGAGCTGGATTCTAGTCTTTCAACAATAACAAAAAATGTATGCTAAGTTCCAATCAGTTACATCTGTGCAAATCCACTGAAGACAATGGAACTGCAGCTGTCACTGAAGGCTCAATTTGGCTTGCAGAATCTTTGGCCAAGATTTTGAAAAGTGATTAGTTGTTTTGGGTGCCTAATTTGTGCCTACGTTTTTGGGTCCCCCACTGGAAACGCTTTTTAGGGGTCTGATTTATACAGAGCAGGTGCTCACCACTCTGCAAATCAGACCCTTAAAGATGTCTCAAGTCAGACACTCAAAAATTGAGGCATCCAAAATCGCTACTTCCTTTTGGGTGAAAGCCATCAGTACTGGTGATAATGAAGGAGAAGGACATCGCAGGTGGGTTTGCAAGGATGGCAGTTAAAAAAATGTTTTTGCTTGCAGATTAATCATATTTGGAAAGGTATTATTAAGAAACAATAAACGCAGAACCTCTGCAATGCCTTTTATGCAGAATCACTTTTCAGAGAAGTACTGCACTTTAAAGCAGTCAGACAGTTTTCATTTATACCACTTATAAACATGTGACAGATAATTCAATGTCTCCACATAGCAGATACTCAATGACCTTGGAAGCAGAATACATTTTTCATATGGTTGAACTGTTCCTGAACAATATCTCCAATATATTAGGCCAAAACTTGAGCTCTGTTGTTAAGATGGCCTGCATCTTTACCCTATGTTTTCATCCTCTTGGAAAAACCTATGAATTATGTGATCAATGCAAAGAAATCCATTTCTGAATAATAGCTGAGTCTGTCTGTGTTTGTCTTACTATGCCTCTGCTATATTATTGCAGGTTCTTGACAAAATATAGAATTGTATTCTATATAAATGTGCAAGATTCTGATCTCCATTATACTGATATAAATCCGGAGTGATTCCACTTCAGTCAATTCAATTACTCCAGGTTTACACTGATGTAATGGAGAAGAGAATCTAGCCCATATGTTTCCTTTTCAGACTTCAGTAGTGTAGAACAAACTTTATGTCTCAGAATGCATGAACTGTTTCTGTCTTTTTCTTTATTTTAATGTTGAAATTCATTTTCCTCTTTTTGATATGAAGAGTATAATATATGGTGTATTGGACTCATTACCAAATAGTTGCACCTGGCCACCAACAAAAGAGGAAGTGAAGGCAGATGGATTTACAGGGATATAATTAAATTCACCATTGGAAATATAGGATATCCCAGACCATCAGATATGACCAATGGTACACCAAGCCTTGTATCCTGCCTCTCACAGTGTCCAGTATTTGATGCCTCTGAGGAAAACAATGAACATGCATAATACACCATCCCAACCAACTGTGCAATGCTGTACATGCGTGGGGAGAATTCATCCCGATCCCTGAGGCAATCAGCTTATGCCCTGAAGCGTGAGATCTGATTTGAGCATCAACATAAGCACACTGTCTTGGAGACTGCATCTTTGTTGTTGAATGCCACATTCAAGCCATATTAAGACTTATATAATTTTCTTCTGTGGTCTAAAAATATCCTCTGCCTAATATTTGGAATCCATTCTTTGATACAAGGTCAGAAAGCATGATCGGGGAAGTGGGCCCATGTCACCTACTTTGGAGGTTCTGTTTATTTAGCTCTACACAGCTAATGCATATTCCCTTCTGTGAAGAGGATCCAAGACTGAAAAAAGATGCCCATACAAATCAAAATTCACAGAAGATGCCTTAGATATCAACAAATTTAACCATGTTGCCAAGTAGAAATTAGAGGTAGCAAAGTCTATGAACTGATCTTACTCACATCCCTGCCAATGCTGGGTTGTCCATTACAATGTGCCCAAACATGGCCGAAGCAAATAAATTTAAAAATTCAAATGAATATTCATGGAATATTTTCTGCATTATTCACTCAGCTATATATCTGTGTGCAGTTCTTACAAGTGATGAAAACTCCTTCCATCTTCTCTCAGGCTTGACCCAGGTAAACAGATGTGTTATGGCTTAATTTTCTTGCTGTCTCTGCTGCCAGCTTTCATGGCCCTGCCTCCTTTTTTAAAGTCCAAAGTCTGATTTCTTTCCAACCCCACTCCTTTTGCCCACTCCTACAGTAATATTCATTGTCCTCTGCTGGCTATTAAGGGTCCAATTCTGCCACCCTTCCTCATGCTGAGTAATAGTTACATGAGAGAGTAAGGGTCTCATAATTGGGCCCTAAAGGCTCCCTCTTCTACTTTTCTTCTATATTTCAAAGCATATTTTCTTACCTTGTTTCTAACTACTGCAACCCCCCAGGGCAAATTTCCTTTCACTGGTTGGCCTCTCCATTGTTCTCTGCTGAGCTAGTGAGTTAATTGGCTGGCTGCCTGGTTGTAAGATCCCCCTTCCGGGTCATTTGCTGATTTCGTGGATGCTATTCTTCTCAAACATGCCATTGATTTCTTACAGAGCAAAGGGCTGCTAGTAGCCTACATTGCTGAGCAATAAATAAAATGTTTAAATACATCACTCAACATGTAAAACAGATCACCTAGTCTAGTCAAGACATATAGACTTCTGTTATGTAAATGGCTTATTCTTTTTCCTCCATGCAGGAAGTGGATATTTATACAGTGAAGACTGAAGAACTTGCATTTACATCTGCGTTCTGCCTCCAAATTCAGCGCAACGATTACATTCATGCCTTGGTCACCTATTTTAATATAGAATTTACAAAGTGCCACAAGAAAATGGGATTTTCAACAGGTACACTATCTCCTTACTGCCACAGCTCCATTGTGTGATAATCCTGAAGGCGAGAATGTGAATCCTTTATTCACATTGATGAACAGATACTTACTGGAGTAGCCCTATTCTTGTGAACAACTGCTCGCCAAAGTGAGTAAAGAGTTCACGGTCTTACCCTAGCCAGCATAACTTGTTTTTTAAAAAGAAAATCAAATAATTGACTGACCTTATTTAAAGGGACAGGATACCAAAATATCATTGGGTTTAGATTGTCATTTGCACTGAGACACCATTATTCAGCTGTGGCAGGCCTTAAAGTGGATGTAACTTAGGTCTTGTCAGAAAATGCCCACCCCACTAGAAAATTGTGACTTTTCAGTGAAAAATCAAAAATCAAAATATTATGTTGAAAAGCTGAATTAGATTCCGAAATGCCAATGTGGTGTCTCATGGGAGTTGTAGTTTGAGTGCCTCATGCACCCATTCTCCTCTATAGTGTGAATTCTCAGGTCTGACTACATCTCCCATGATGCACCAGGGTTTCACCTCTTGGTGACAGAAGGTGTGGCATCACGGGATAATGAAGCCTGGCTACATAGCCTGAACCATAGTGGAGGATAGCCACATGAAGCTACTGAACTATGAGGCACCTCAGTGGCATACCCAAATCAAAATATTTTAGTTTTCAACTGAACAAAATTTTTTGCTTTTTAGTTATTCATTTTTTTGAATTACAATAAAAAAATCAGACACTTGTGAAAAATTGTTTAGTCAAAAACCCAATTTTCTGTCAAAAAATAGTTTTGACATACATCTTTCAACATCCCTAATATAAATGTAATTTATAACCAGAGCAGAGCAAAGGGGCCTTAGTGCAAATTAAAATGTGGCCCAATGATAATGGAGTGTGTGTGTGTGAAAAATTTGTATTAACTAGAGATACTGGTCCAGCCCCTCAATTGGTGTACATTGGCAGAGAACCACAGACGTCAACAGAACTACACTTCTTAGCCTCATTTAGGTATTTGGCACATCATTATTATACATTTTTTAAAATGGGTGAATAGGCTGATATTTGCCTGATAAATCTGAGCATCAATGACTACATGCCTTCATCTATTCAAACACACCACTTTCCTCAGCTCAGGGAGCACAGACGGTCAAATTACGTCAATCTTCTCTAAGGAACATCAGGGATGATTTGAACCCTGCACTCTTTCCCCACAGTGCATCTGTGCTGGGTCAGACTTCATTTGGCCCTAAGATGTTTCCATTTAGAAATGTTACCAGAGACAAGTCAAACAGAGAAGAGATTAATTAAGATCCTTTGGCCTGGAACTGGATTCTGGATCCAAACTCATGCATGCAGCAGCATCCAACTAGTCGCTTCAGTGTGGGACGCTGTCAGAGGAAGAGTTACTACATAACTTAGGACTTGTCTACACACTAGAGCTGGTTGGGAATTTTCTGATGAAACATTTTTCATCACAAAAAGCCGATTTGTTGAAAGTCGGTTTCGACAAAGGGTCGGTTTTGACAAATCTCTCACTTCAAAAACCCTTTGAAAATAAATAAATAAACATTTCAAAATTGTTGAAATGTTGCATTTTGACATTTTGTAAACAAAAAGGTTCGTTTTTTCTTCAAAATGAATTTTTGGTTCAAAGTTGTAGCTAATTCATACTAAAGAAAGGTAAAAAATAATAACAAAAAAGTTGAAATCAAAATGAAACATTTTTAAATTATGGAAATGAACTGATTTTGATTGATCCAATCCAAAAAATGTTTGGATTGTCGGTTTTTGAAAACTTTAGAGATATTTACATTTCATCCCTATTTGGGACACAAAATTATTCAAAATCATGACAATTCTCACTTGAAGGGAAAACTATTTCCCACCCAGCTCTGCTACACACGTAAGTTCTACCACTTTAATTATAACAATATAGTTAAGCGGGTCCCATTAGTGTATAGATTAGGGGTGGGCAAACTACCAGATCTGGCCCGCCAGCCATTTTAATCTGACCCTCGAGATCCCGCTGGGGAGCGGGGTCTGGGGCTTGTCCCGCTCCCGTGCTCCACCCGAGGAGCAGGATCGGGGACCACTCAACGCAGCTCCCGGAAGCAGCAGCATGGCCCCGCTCCGGCGCTCCAGCGGGGAACTGTGGCCAATGGGAGCTGCAGGGGCAGCGCCTGCAGATGGGTCAGTGCGCAGAGCCGCCTGACCGCGGCTCCGCATAGGAGCCAGAGGGGGGACATTGCTGCTGCTTCTGGGAGCCGCTTGAGGTAAGCGCCACCCGGAGCCTGCACCCCAGAGCCTCTCTCCATGCCCCAACCTCTTGCCCCAGCCCTGATCCCCCTCCCACCCTCCAAACCCCTCGGTCCAAGCCCAGAGCATCCTCCTGCACTCCAAACTCCTCATCCCCAGCTCCACCCCAGAGCCCACACCCCCAGCTGGAGCCCTCACACCCCCGCACGCCACTCCACTGTCCCAGCCCGGAGCCCCCTCCCACACCCTGAAGTCCTCATTTCTGGCCCCACCCCAGAGCCCACATTCTCAACCAGAGCCCTCACCCCCTCCTGCACCTGAACTCCGATTTTGTGAGCATTCGTGGCCCGCTATACAATTTCTATTCCCAGATGTGGCTCTCAGGCCAAAAAGTTTGCCCACCCCAGTATAGATACTAGTATAAAGGTGCATATAGTGGCATGTTCCCATAAGAGAAGGGGAATAAGCTCTCCTGATATAAGGCACATTTTTACTGGTATAATTACAACCACCCTCGGGGTTGTGGTGATATAACCAGTTCAGCTAAATAAAAAAAAAAAATCGCACCCTTAAGCAAAATTTTTATACTGGTACAAAATCTGTGAGCAGACCAGGTCGTAGCATCTTTCTCATCATCTCATGAGTTTGATTATGTTAATGTGATCTCAGTGAATGCATGATAATAATACTGGAAGAAACTCAATTTGGCTTGTCACAGACTGTTGCATTTTTACTATGAAGAGCACACTGAACACATATCACTGTCTCCAGCAGACAGCAATTTAAATTGACTCTTCTTAGCAGAAAGAGAGAAGCTGGCTGTTATGAACCAATTGATAGACATGCAAAAAGACTCCTGAATTCTTAAGTGTCTCTAAACTCTCTGTCTGGTCTTATTGACCCAGGCTCACCAATAAACACCAAGACTCATTTACCAGAGAAAAAATTTCTCTCTCTCTCTCTCTCTCTCTCTCTCTCTGTATTCTTTTTATAAATAGCCCTTCTGGCATTTTCTGGTGTTTTCAGCTTTCAGTGGAATGGCTTTGGGGTATCTTAAATACAAGTCTTAAAAACATTTTTATTGTGTTAAAAATACGTGTGGAAAATATTGCTATGGCTTATACGACTCATTTACTTTGGAAGATCATCTTTCACACTTCCACAGAGCCATTGGCCCTTCTCCTCTCATACCGAGGTAAATAAGGAGTGATTGGATTGAAATCAATGGAATTATACTAGGTAAAACCAGTGTGACAGGAGAATCAGACCTCTTGATTACAATGCATAAAACACATTTACAAGCACAGTATTTCAGAGGGGCAGCATCTGTAGATAATCTGTGTAAGAAAAATAAGGAGCAAGAAAAGGGCATTTAGCGCCATATGCCAGCCTTTTGTTAATGTAGATTTTCACTTTACATTCCTGCTCATCCATGCTCTTTACTCCCGTCCTTTGGTTGGTAATTTATTCTCTGGATCTGATTCTCCTCTCACACCAGTGTAGCTCCATTGACTTCAGTTACTCCGGATTTATGTTGTAGTGTGTGAGAAGAGAGAGATCTGTGGGACATGAGAGCTAATGGGAAGAAGCAGGACATTGTATTTTAGTTCCATGGAAGTGGGAGATTAAAATAAATATAATGATGGAGGAAGTTAGAATCTTTTTCACATAAGATTTGATTATTTTATTAGCCATGAGGCTAATGAGCTGGGAGGAAGAGGGGGGTCTTAAAATGGTACCATATCTGAACAGAGGCATGGAATCGGTTATTTTAGCGCCTAGGGGCCACAACTTGAGATCAGGGCCCCAGTGTGCTAGGTGTTATATAGACATCTCAAGGCTTGTCTACAATGCCCTGCAGTTCAGCCTATGAGGGTGTGAATAACAGTGCACACCAAAGTGC